TCATGATGAATATTGGGAATATCGCGGGTAGTTTGTCGTACGATCTACATGTTAGAAAGTTCTAGTCGTTCTCGGAATTCTATTGAGTATGATTTCACATTCATCACAATAAAGACATTCCAATTGGTCTTGTACGTCCTTTTATACTTTGAGTGGATCAAGAGTGGTCCTCGGTATAGTGGTGTATAACTCTCGGTATAGTGGTGATCAACTGCGTCTGCCAAGTGCGAAACCTGGGTTCAATCCTCGACCGGTAAGAATTTTCGTCATTCTTAGGTTTCTTTTATTGGAAGGAGCAATAACGAACAGCAAGTTCATGAATACAGGGGATCTTTGAGCGAGCAAGCGTGGATCCTCGGTAGCAGTAGTGAGTATCTGCGTCTGTCACGTGCGAAACCCTGGTTCAATGCCGTGACTTCCACTACACACATGATGGAGAGCCTAATTTAGGTAAAAAGAGATTATGTCTGTGGCGACTATATCATTAGTACATAATTTTTCTACTGCTACTTCTAATCGTGGGTTTCCTTGGCTCTTCCATTTGCAACATCTCCGACTGTTATCCACAATTGATGTCGTCATGGATCAGTTGAGCGACGTCAAAGATTCTGAAGGATTATTGATGAGACGTGAGCCTGAGAGATTAGCCTTCATTTCCCGAACAGATAAGCCGGTCATCTGCTGGGTGAGATCCCAATCATGCTAACATCATGGGTGCCGGAACTGCTTTCCGAATCCCCACGGCAAGCCGCAGTGCTCACGCGGCGGCTACCTTAACCTTGCATTAGGAGTTGAAACCTCTCCCTTCATAGCGTGCGATCGGGTGCGGCAGACGCGACGGCATTTTCGGGAAGAAGATACCGGACCCAAATATCATCTCATTGTACCGCGCAGATCAACGTTGGTCGACTGAAGGTTTCCGCTTTCGGATTTTTTTTATTCCATAACGAAGCTCTCACAGGAAAGGATATATCCTCAACCAAAATTGTTTGCTTGCGACGCAATCGCAAGAAAACATGCAATGATACTATTTTGTCAAGTTCTGTAGAATCCTGAACGCTAATGAATTCAAAATTGATCTTTTTTCAAAACTCTTTATGACACTAAATTACTATTAAAAACTCAAAACCGTAGAATGACCTATTCAAAACATTCAGTACTTCATCCGTTGTTGTATGTAATTCCTATCAGTACAAAAGTGTGCTGTGTAGCTTTCGACAAAAAACTTTATGATTTTGTAGTGACAACTGAAGAAACCCTAAAAGTGAGCATTATTATTAAAGGCACAGTTCGCGCTAAAAATAGTTTTCGAATTCTCTCTCTAGGATTACAGAGGGGCCCTCAAAGGTAACAGGAAGGACGCTGTCGAGTCCCAAAGCTCAACAGCCAGAGCCTGGTGGGAGCCCTGTTACCGGATAGCCCGGACTTCTCGCCCCGCGATCCCTATTCTAATTTAATATTCTACTTCAAGAGTCTGGAAAAGGTGGGCTTATGCTTATGAGTAGATGAATTACCGTAGTCACCTACTCGCACCAGGTCCAACCCGCACGAAATGACACACATTGTATAGGACGTCCAAACGCCCCTTCTTCTTCTCTTTTCTGGTGTAAATCTCGTCCCTTTGACGATTTTCTCACCTTGAAACACGGAATCACGCAGTTTATTCACTTTCATCGCCCTATTGCCCATCTTATTTTTCGCTTTTCGTCATAATCTGGATTACCCAAACTAATCGTGAACTGCGCCTTTGAATGGATTCAGATGGCAAACTTGAACGGATTCAGATGGCAAACTTTTGTGGTGATCCCACACCAAAAAAAACTGTCGGGCATCGGATCTGGGAAAGTCTAGGTGCCGATGCAACAAATATGAAGCAAAAACGCGTGTTCCAGATAATAAGCAAGGGAAGGCAACGCATCTCTTTCATTTATAAAGTAGTAACTCGGTGTGCCGGTTAGTCGGTATGTCGGTTGTCTGTCTGTCCGTCCGTGAAAATTATGATTACATGAAAGTAGTGATAAAAAAACTATTCCCAGAAAAACTCAGCCCTTTTATATATCTCCCTCTCACCCTCTCATATATAAAGCAGTCACTTGATGAGTACGTTAATGGAGTAGAATGCGTACTACGGAGTGAAGTTGAGACTTCATATCTGTGATTTCGACCTGCATTGGCATCGTGCCATGTATGTCTATACAAAAACCGGAGGATATAATGTAGTTTCAAGACCATCTTTCAACACTGAGCGTTAGAAAACAGATAAGGCGATTATTGTGCTCAGGAACGTTTCTTTGCTGATATTATACAGTTTTTTGACCTGAACTTTGGGAGCGAAGGAGCACCGGGGTGGGTGAGTCTAATGAATATTCAACTGATAACCATCCTTGTCGGCACTCGGGCCTTCAGACAGTCGAATAAAAGCGAAGCCCCCTTAGCTGGAGGTAGAATTCCGTGGCAAAGATGAAGATGTTGTGATCATTCAAAACAATTTTCACTAAAACATTTTTCCAGAGTCCAAAAACTCCCTTCGAGACTTTTCAAGCTTCTTGGAGATGTTGCCGAACGGTTCCATGAGTCAACTTCGCTCAACAGATGCCAACAGTGAATAAGTCTGCAATTAGATGAGAACCACCGTTAAGAGAGAGCCACTCAACGAGTCAGCAACTCAATAAGCCTGTTAAGAGTGAGGATGATCCACAATAAACAAGTTAGAGAAACAAAGCGACTTCAGCGAGCATTCAATGAACTTCTTCCTTTCCATTTTCCTTAACAGAATGTAAAACATTCAATCTTAGACCCTAATAGTAGTCATACGTATGTTTGTGCAGTCTGTTCTTTGAATATCGGGAGAACAAGACTGAGAAGAATGTGAAGCATTTCAATCCTCACCTTCTGGTGAGGATTTAACCTTGACAGGTTGCTCTCTGCGTGAAAACATCATTCTCTTTGCCGGATTCGTAGACATATGTATATGCCTCAAATGCAACTCAAGATTGACCCATAGATATAGCATTCTCCCTTACAAAACCTTAAAGACACTCTTCACGATAATTTTAGGGTACCCGGCTTCCGACGGTCAATGAAAGATACAGTCAAGAATAGTGCAAAAATAATGGACAAAGCGTAAAAAACGACGTATAAAAAGACATTCATTGGCAAAAAGAACTAGTAAAATGGGGACTTGGACGAGACTCAGTCGAAAAAATGACGTGGAAGGAGTGTTCGGGCGAGTGGACGTCTATCCTGCGTCTCTGTCACCAAACGACGGAGTGCACAGAGACATCGCTAGAGCGGAAAGATGGTTCGATGTCCACCTTCCTGCACGACATAATCATCTAACCCAACCCCGGCGCTTTCCGTTCAGAACGGGGGACGGTCAAGTCGTGCGTCCGAGGGTGCGCGCGTCAAACTGCGCGGCGAAACTCATACCTATTCTGACGACTTTAGCGCCTACTATTTCGGCCCAATTTTGAAGTACAGTAGAATAGTAGGATCAGGTGACCTTACTAATCCACCCTGCTTCAGATTTGGGCCCCAATGGTAGGCGCCGGAGTCGTCCAAATTCGCCACGAACTTCGCCGCGCAATTTGCCGCGCGCGCCCTCGGACGCACGACTTAACACACACCCGTTTAGAACCATATAAGTCCAGTAGTTTCTAGCTCGATCACTTGTTTCACTAAATTTTCCTTTCTCCTCTTCACCAGATGATTAGTCCGAGAATAGAAAACGTGTAAAAGCTGTGTGTCAGCGGACTAACTAGCCTTAGACGACGCTTTATCGCCCAATCCTGCAAGTTGCGTAAGACAGCTCGGGCTAGAGTAGCAGCGAAGAACTAAATCCGCAAGTAGTTCCAGCTAACATTTATGATGGAAATAGTTTTGTAGATAAGAGTAGTCGCGGTACCAGCATACCATAATTTTTGAGCGGGATAAAATTCTAGGTTTAATTTGAAAATGAAACTACCCAAGCGATACATCTATGTGATTTCTTCTGCAGATAACGTGCTCATTCCTCCAAAAACTATTGGGCACTCTGAATCGACTTTCGCTTTTTCTACACTCCATGATGTAATTTTAGCAATCACACATCACATTGTGATAAAAATAGAAAACCTTACTGATATTCATAACTCAGAGCCATCATTCTAGTCCTTGTAAACAAGCGACATGATTCGAGAAGTTGCCGATTTTTTAATTGATTCTTTTCTTTCGGGTGGTTCGGGTGGTTACTGATAATTCCTAACTCTTTTAAATATTTTATGCTAGTGCCTGAGCAAACATGTTCACCAAAATTGATGACCTTTGATTGTTTCTGTACCAGAATCATGATTCAGCTCTCTAGCTACTTTCGCCATGAATCATTCAAACGAAAAGATTATTCACCCACCCAAACATACTTCCTATACACTCAATTTCTAAGAAACGTAACTTAAATAAAAGAGATTCTAAATCCGTCTGCGGCGTATTAGGCCTTCCACTTTGATGTTATATTATTGCCTTTGCATGCCTCAAGAAAGTTTTCATCATATCGAGCTGCTTCCATCGACAGTACAGAAAGTGGCGACCACGGCAGGACGATAACGATGCAGCCATTACAGCAAGAAGCATGTCTGGAACTCCGTGACCAAAACAACGAACATATGGGCACTATCTCCATCACTCTACTTGACATAGAATACAGATGTCATAAACGCGTTTAATTTTTCACACGAGATCACAAAATAACTGCTGAATCAAGCCATCACTGCTATCCACTCGGAGGCAGTTTGAAAAATAAGTGCGACAAACCAAGGGAACCGGATACATTACAAGAATTCTCCTCTACAGCAAATAATAATCCAGGCTTTACCTACTGCACCCCGGGTTGTCTATCCTGTGGCTGTCTATTCTGCTTCCACAGCTGCCTCTTTCACAGAATCTACGCAAAATCGACTACTTCGATGGTATATACCGTTTTCAATTGTCCAAGCTGGGATCTAACAGCAACTGCTCACATCACCATGACTCGAAGAGGTAGCACAACTTCAACGCAAGCGACTTTGATTCCAGGTCACACAAACCGATGGAACAACTTGCCATTCACTCTTGTTGGCACAACCACACCTCAGTTACCAATACTCGGCTCGACCTCCATGGAGAATGAAGGCAACATCGCGATAATCAAATCTGCCCAGAGAGCACAACTAATGCCGCATATCGCAGGTCAGCTCCGGTGTGCGACACTAGAAGACGCCAAAGAATTCAAATGCGCATTCGCATGCTAATCATGCAAATGCTCCTCTGGGTTCCAGAAGGCATCGTGCAACTGCCCAAATGGAGATATGGAAGAAATAACGAAATCTAATCTTTCACCTCGAGTAGGGAAAAATTACCGCATCTCTCGCGACAATGGATAAGTTCTCGCGGAACTAAATGTCGGCTCCGCTCTTCAACTTCATATTGTGATGGTCATTCTCAAGCTTATCGCGCAACAACATTAGACCTTCTGCACATTCCAGACGAGCGATTTAATCGGCTGTTACAACTGTTTGACGGCAGCAACACTGAAACTTGTCCGCTCAAGCGACAAAGGAGAGGTAACCGCTTCAATAGCCTGCCACGATCAAACCAAAATTGCAAAATGCACTTCATGCACACACATAAATGAACTCGTGTTTCACTTTTTCGCTACTCATGTTGACATCGCCTGCTCTGTCTCGTGCCCGGGAGGCTCTGCCAACATCAGTATCAAAGGAACTCTGACATATGTCGATGATGGCCTTATCGATGCCGGTTTCTGTAATTCTACCCAAGATATCAATTTGCTTAGGAATTTCACTTCTTCATGAACATTAGCCAGCTTCATATAACTGCCTTATGACCTTTGTCACCTCTCAATTTTCTCGGAAGTCAGCCAAAATATATTTTATATTCTGAATTGGACCTTAATAACGCTTCATCATTCTCTGACGCCTATCGAGATAGAAAGCTAATAGAAGAGAGCGCCTCTCTACATTTTGAAAAATAGTCGTATAAATACCGTTTCGAATGACTGTTAGACGGTCCACTTCAATGCCCAATAAAGCTAGATCGTCTCGTCCGTCATATCAAAATCAATTGGCGACCACGGTCACTTTAACGAACGCTACACGGCCGACGACCATAGCATCAAAAGTTACCGACAATAACTCATCATCGTCTACGACACTCATCGAGGCTACTCAATCTCACACGGTCGGCCAACCCCTATCAACGTTCTCATCAACGTCATCACCTACACAACGGCAGCAACCGCTCTGCAACGTCAACGATTTCACAACGTCGCCAACCGCTCTCTACATCATCGTCTTCAAACAGTCGACGATCCCGCTCAAAGCCAGCTTCTTCGCAACGTCAACGCCGCTCATCGAGACTACTCAATCTCAACCGGCAGACCACATCTCATTAACGTCAGTGCCTCCACACCGGCAACGATCGCTCATCAAGGTTACCGATCCCACACCGCCAACAACCATCTAACAACGCCAGATTCTCCGCACCATAAGCAACACTACACGTCGACGACCACTCATCGAGACAAGCAAGTCCTATACCACGGGCCATCGCTCTTCAACGTTACGACTCCTTACCATCCACAACCCCAACTCCTCAGCAACCTCATCATCTCTACATCGCCGACGATCGCTCTCAACGCCAGCGTCTCAGCAAACTCAACATCACTCAACGAGGTTACCAAATCAGACATTGCCTACTACCTTTCAACAACGTCCGAATCGTCAGCCATACCCATTAGCGACAGCATCTCCACACCATCGCGACCGCTTTCAACGTCAACGACACAGATCGGAGCTACTCGTCCATTCCTTTGGAAGCTACTCGAACGTCATCGTCTCCACACTGTCGACGACGCCTTATCACCGTTAACGACCTTACACCACCAGCTGTCTACTGCTTCAACACCTGTTAAGAACTCACCTGACTCCTTGTGAAACCGGCGACCACACCCGACACCGTTCAATCACACCTACTCCAGTGGTTATCTTCAAATGTCCTCAAAGACAGCTTTTGAATACGAAGTCAAATTGGATTTTTCAAAAAACAACACCAACGTTATGCGTTGTCCGTTACAACCACACTGAAGGAATACCACATAAAAGCCGAACAACTGAACTTCCGCCATCTTGAAAACGACGGACTCGAATCACTTCGAGCTGAAATCGTCCTACTGAGAAAAAGCCTTCTGAAGTCTTACCAAAAGATAACGGAGCTGAACGACGAACGCATCACACTTCGGGACTCGACACCAGCAAGGAGAGCAACCATCCATCACGAACGTCAACCGTCTCTACCACATCAACCTACAGCTACGCACTTGTCCCCAGATTTCTTTTTGCTCAACCTCGTCGACGCTTCCATCTTAACAAAAATGGAATTGCCCACGTTCGACGGAAACATATTGGAGTACCCCGGATTTACGGCGCGTTTGCTACTTTGGTGGGAAACAAACCACAACTCTGAAAATTCTACCTGCTCAAATCTTGCTTACGAGGACGAACGCTCCAGTCAATACGAGTGCTATCTATGACCGCCGAGAACTACAATATCGCGATGGATATACTCCGTACGTACTTCGACGACAAGGTCACCATGAGGCCCCTATTGTACATCAAATTGCCGCCGTGCGATACAGAAGGTCATCATCTTCCCGTGCTGTACGATAGGATGTTCTCGCTAGTAATACAGTTTTGCAATGGCGAAAACGATTCAAAAGAGACAGCTTTGGGAGCTCTTCTCCTAAACAAATTACCTCTTCGAGTTTGAAGCCAAATTTATGACAAAACGGGGAACAATCAATCACTGATAACAATCAAGTTTCCACTGACTCATCAGAGCATCCTCTCTCGCCAAGCGAGTGTCATATTTCTCAACTACAAACGGTGTCACTCTACCCAGCACTCACCGCAAGCCACCATTATAAGTGCTACTGTGCGACTTTTCAACCCATCTGATCCATCCGAGAAGTCAGAGCCACAGCCTTTTTGGACTCCGGCTCAAGCAAATCTTATATCACTGCTGAACTTGCAACGTTTCTTGAGCTACCAACTCTCACCGCAGGGAACATAACCATATCTACATTTGGAAGTACCAATTCACTGGAGCTGCCATCAAAAGACCATAATATTGGCGTTTACACAGAAGAAGGAGCAAAGTACCTCGAAATCAAATCAATATGTCAAATCTGTACCCACTCTTACCGGAAGCATTCAACACATCTATATATCTTCAGATCCCAATCGAAGATTTATCCACTCATCCTGTACCCCATCGACACTCACAGAAAACGACTATTTCTGGGACTTTGTGCTTTCGGATAACTTCTATTTCCACAAAATGCCGAGCGGATATCGTCCGCTACATACTACATTCGGAGATATCATCGTCAATAAACAACTCGACATCAAAAACTCGGAAATCATCTCTTCGTTTGCTTCTGAAAGGAACTCTCCAACCCGAGCAATCGCGATGAACTTTCCAAGCTCGTTAGCAATTTCTGGAAGTTCGAAACAACCGGCATTGTCGATGACTCAATGCAAAGTGATGATGAAGAGTGCCTGAAGTTTTTCAACAACACTATTTACTATGACGAAAAGGAAAGCAAATACGTCTATGCACCAACTTCAGAGACGTATTATCGAAGAGGTTCCAGCTGGCGAAACGTACAAACCGTCACTTACCTCTCTCACCACGGCGTCATAAAAAAGAACGAAAACGACATCAAAATAAGATGCGTTTACGGCGGCTCCACGAAAATGAAAGGACGTCGATGAAAGTTTGAATGACTGCTTATATCGCGGGCCCGTCCTTCTACCAAATCGCACCTAAATTCTTCTTCGTTGCAGATTCTACAAGATCCTAATATCCAGCGACATCGAAAAGGCCTTTCTCATGGTCGGACTCAACGGCGAATCTCGAGACTTCACACGATTTTCATGGCTCATCAATCCCAAAGGACCTGTTACTCAAGACAACCTAATCACGTACAGATTCACGACAGTACCGCTCTGACTCGTGAGTTCTCCGTTCCTGCTTGCGGGCACAATACACTATCATCTGACAGCTATTGCACACAGCAAGTTCTTAGAAATACATACGTGGATAACGTATTTCATGGAGTCCGTTGCACCCGTGAGGGCGAATCTTTTTACAAAGAATCCAAAGAATTATTCCAATCAGCCAAAATGGATCTACGAGCCTTCACGAGCAACTCTGCAGAACTCAATAAGGTCTTCGAAGAAAAGGAACAGGTCGCCTCTGCGGAGCATCAAAATTCAATGGGTCTACAATGGGACACTTCCGCCGATACGATCACCATTCAGCTTCCAGAACGCCCTCCTCCGCACATAGTATGGACAAAGCGCAAAGTGCTGAGACACGTCGCTAGCATCTATGATCCTCTTGGCCTAATATAATATCTCCAATCATACTCAGAGAGAAGCTTTTCCTTCAATCGCTGTTGAAGATCGAATTATCCTGGGACGATCCAATGCCTGAAGAACAAAGTAAACAATGGGGCCATCTCATTTCGTCCTGGACAACTACGTCATTCACATTGCCGCGTTTACTGACTGACGTGAACGACAACTCGAACTGTTAATATTACCTGCACATTTTCACCGACGCGTCATCAACGGCGTACTGTGCCACAGCATACGTACTCCATCGAAGGAATAACACTCCTTCGACGGCTCTCTTCCTCAAAATCGAGGTTGGCTCCTCTCAACAAAGCAATAACCATACCTCGACTTGAACTCGCAGCCTTGATGACCGGTGCAAAAATAACGACATATCTCGACATATCTTCACTGGACCTTTTCTCACAAACTCCTTTGGACTGACAGCAATGTCACCCTAAGATGGATCGAAGGAAACAAGGAATTGCCAATTTTTGATCGCATTCGGGTCAAAATCATTCAGGACGACACATCGGATGTGATCGTCCGACATATTCCCGGACATCTGAATCCCGCTGACATCGGAGCTCGCGGAGCAACCACACACGAGTTACTGAGTTCTACACGCTGGTGTGACTGACGGGAATTTCAAATTTCAATTTCAGCAAAAGGACGACCTCTGGCCAAATAGTAACTTGTAAACATCAAAAACACCATCAACCACAAGCCACGAAGAAAAGGAATTGGACTTTTCAGGAGCCGTCACATAAATAACTTCGTCAACGATGGACCTCATTGGAACACCTACTTCCTTGCCATTGGACGTCGAACGAATCAGCTCTTGGACGAGGCTAGTAAATACAGTTTTCTTCGTTTTACGTTTTTTTGTTATGAAATCGGAAAGGGCTTCTCAACACTTTGGAAGTAATAAAGTGGCCCTGCTTTGGTGAGGGAAAACTATTCTATTCCGGATTGCGCAATCCCGACGTCCACTTTCTCACGAGCATAAAAGGAATCTGAACCTCTTCATGTGCGAAAGATCCCTTCTTTGGAGGTGCAGGGGACGTATAGACCACTCCGAACTTCAGCAAGAAACAATAACTCCAATTTTCCTCCCCCGAAGAGCCGCATTACAGCACTTTTCTCCTGAACGTTCACCAACGCATTAATCATTGCGGGATTAACCACACCTCGCTCTCATCCAACAGTCCGTATGGATCCCCAAGCGACGAGCAACAATCAAAAAAATACTGCCTGAATACTGTTTCCACTGAAAGAGGTACACTGCCAAACAGCATACGCTTCCACCGTTTCCTGCCCATCCGGCAAGAAGAGTCAAACCATCTGCTTCTCTATTGGAAAACGCTGGCATGGACTTTTTTGGTCCTCTTCAATACAGGAACGCCGACAACGTGGCTGAAAAGTTTTGGATGATCCTTCTAACTTGCCTCACTTGTCGTGCCATATACGTTGTATTGTAACGGACATGTCCGCCCTTATGGTTCTACATTCTCTACGCCGTTTCATCGCAACCGTTGGCTGTCCAATTTGGATCATATGCGACACCGCTCAATCTTTCAAAACCGTGGATCGCTGCTGCTCTTTACTACCTAACTGGGAGATCGAGAACGATGTGATCGACTACTGTACCAACAACAAGATACGAATGAAATTCGTCCCTAGCTTATGCTCCTGGCAGGGTGGAACCTATGAAAAAATGATCAACATATTCAAGTAATCATTCAAGCATGCAATTGCAATCGCTTAATGAATATTGATGACTTCAAGACAATCAGTGGACCTCAGCCGTTGGAATGTACCGATGAACGGTCACCGGTCTCTACAACCCGCGACACCCTCCTGGCAGATTGGAAAAGAACAGTGAAGCTAGTCACATCCTTCTGGAAACGATGGTTACAAGAGTACGTCACCGCTTTACGTGAGCAGTATCGAACCGAGCATACCAAACCCCGTTCTCACGAAAGGAACCTCCTCGCCGAGGAGACTTCGTACTAGTGCACGAACCTCGGCTTCAACGTGGACAATGGAGAATGGGGGAGGTCATAAGATCTCAGGATAATTTCAGAAGATCTGAGATCTAGAAATCAAACTCCCGAACAGAGGGATCATCACTCGTCCGCACAATCTCGTCTACAAAATGGGATTTGCCACCTGCCTCTCCGCCACACAATCCACCACCCGCTATCTCCTCAGGAAATACACTGCATCCAATGATCCCAAGATCGAAAGCATGCCCTCTCAACAACGCCGTCCTTCTGTGCTTAATGGTTCTGACCATACAAGGGACATCATCAGATCATACACGCTGCCCAGAAGAAATCAACATAAATAGGACTCCATACTTTTCGCTACTGAGTGCACTCCAAAACGAATCGCGATAGCACGGTACGAGCAAGCCAACAAGAGCGTTGTCGTTTGGTTTCCGATCAATTGCCGGTTTGCCGACGTACGGTTCGATGCGTCCAAACCAACGGTCCCAACGCTATGTGGCAAGAAGTACAAATGTCCAGATTCGACTGATTCATGCTCCTTCTCGAGCAGCTCGAGGACGGCAATATCTGAGATAGATCTCATGCCAAGTTCTATCAAGAATACAACCCCCACATACGTGTGCTCATTCAACTACAATTCCTCTTGCGATCCAGTGAAAAGGATGGGAGTTTTCAATCAAATGCAACTTTTCGATGACAGCGTACTACTCGTTGAGGAACTGACCATCACGATAAAGGACTACATTGACAGAAACGACTTCGTGTGCCTAGATCGGTAAGGAGGAGGCGCAATTCAAGAAGGTCAACGGGCACGTCTCGTTTCTGCCAAAACCACGACTGTCGAGACAACGCACAAGTATTTTGCACGTACGACAACCCTCTCGCGCTATTAGTCATAGATGACACATCCTCTACACATAGAGGAGCCATGACGATAAAGGCGTGGGGATCAATCACCAAAGCGTACTATGAGTTCAGGAAGGATAAGCGGATCGAAAAATCGTTGTTCAGGAAAAATGAGTGGATCGAAAAATCGACGAACGCAGTGAAAAGAATTATTAAAACGCCAACTTTTGGTCTGACCACTCCTCTAATCTCAGTGCAGTGCATCGAAGGAGGAGTCTCAATTGACACCCTTCTCCACAACGATATTACCGAGACATGTGTCAGCCAATACTGCGATTTTATTCGCAACATCCCTTCCCAGGACATAATATTTCCGAATTCAATCATAGTGTATGATTACGTAGTCTCCATCAAGTTATGGAACAATGGCACGATCACAGATGAGTTCACAGTTTCCTGCGAAGCTCATCCGATATGCGAAACATTAGATTGTCCCTTTTGCTGGGAACACATATACAATGTGCAGTGCTGGACCAATACCCAATTAATAATAATTGCCCTTTCCCTCCTCCTCATTTTCCTCATTCTACCGGGGATTTGTCTCATCGCTAAGATAGTCTTCATGCTTATGACACCGCTTCTCTCTATGCTAGCAACGATGAATGATGAAGTTACTCCACAAAAGATCGCGGCCTCACCGGGCTCAACTCCGCACATACACTAATCACAGGAGACGGATCCACAAGCGCAGGTTCCTTACGTGCGTCATCTCAATCATAATCCACCTCTATTACAGCGAAGCAGGTTCCTTACGTGCATCATCTCAATCATAATCCACCTCTATCACAGCGAAGCATGTTCACACGAAGCATGTTCACAAGTTTCTTCGCTTACTGGACATGAAGCAAAATGTGTCATTACCGGAAATGCCGAGACATGTACGTTCAACGAAGCTACCCTTCTTACTCTCCAACCTCTTCAACAGGAGACCTGCTTGACACTGAAGGATAAGAAGAACAACACTGTGGGTGTGATCTCCATCAGAATCAACGGAATCAACTTCAGATGCCACAAAAACATGGAGTTCTTCACCCGTGATCACAAATTAGTCTCAGAATCCGTTCACCGCTGCTACCTCGCTGGTGGCTGTGTCAAAGACGCGTGTGATAATACCTCACCAACGGACAGGATAAAAGAATTCTCGAATAGTGCAAACAGTAGCCCAGGCCACACATTCTGTACAATCAGCTGCGGATGTATCTTCTGCGAAGGCTGTTTTTTTGTCAACCGAGCTGCCTGTTTTGTCGACTTTACGCAATACCAACCAGTTCGACTATCTATACTGTGTTCAGCTGCCCAGGCTGGGAAACCATCATCAACATCGAATTCGAAGTCCCGCAAGAAGAACTGAGAATATCCACCACTCTGCGACTCCTTCCCGGTCAAACAACATCATGGAACAATGTTCGCTTCACACTCATAAGCAATATTATTCCTCAACTGCCGATTTTATCATCAACATTCATGGGAACATAAGACGGAATTGCGATTGTGAAACCAGCACACAAAGGAAAATTCAAACCTGGCAGCGTAGGGCAATTACAGTGTCCCACCAAGAAAGCAGCAGTCTCTTCCGCTGCATCTTTGCCAGCAAAGTATGCACATGTACAACGGACTTCGAAAGGCCTCATGCGTCTGCAGCTCACAAAATATGGTAAACCTCATGCATGAATATCCTCTACCACAGACATCGAAGAACTACTTGATCTACTCACATAGCGACGCCGTATTCGCAAAAACCAGCGTCGGAAGCGCTATTCAACTTCATCTCGTCGCGGAAGATTCAACGATCACAACACGTCAGTCCAGCAGTTCATGTGAAATTGAAGCAAGCGACCTCTCTGGCTGCTACAACTACATGGCTGGTGCCGAACTTACATTGTTGTGCCGTAGTTTTCATGGACAAGTGACTGTCAACATTCTTTGTCCAACGCAAACACAAATAGCACACTGTAGGAGACTGGGCACTTGAATAAACTGAAGTTCCATTTCTCAAATCCGACCGTGCTCACGGAATGCATCGTTTCCTGCCCCGTAGGATCAATACCGATGAAAGTCAAAGGATCGATCCAGTTTGTCGACGATGGATTACTCAAGAGTGACATGCAAGCAGACGCAACGAAAGAAGTGGGAAGAGGTACGTCGTTCTCCAACAGAGTAATCGATGACGTTCCGAAGACGTTTACCGATTTTCTTTGAGTACCACTTTTCTAAAATGGATCACCAATCTACCGATTTTTCTGTTGATGATTCTGTGTCCGATCCGGATGTTCCATATATGTGTTCAAAAGTCTCTTTCGGTCAAAAAGAATCATTGACATTGTTTGCCTCGGGAGTTTCTGTAATTTTACAAAAGATATTGATTTGCTTAGGAATTTTACTTCTTCATGAACATTAGTCAGCTTTGTAAAGCTGCCTTATGACCTTAGTCACTTGTCAATTTTCTCGGAAGTCAGCCAAAATGTATTATTTATTGTCATTATATTCTGAATTGGACCTTAATAACGCTTCATCATTCTCTGACGCCTATCGAGATAGAAAGCTAATAGAAGAGAACGCCTCTCTATATTTTGAAAAATGGTCGTATAAAAACCGTTTCGAATGACTGTTAGACGGTTCACTTCTATGCCCAATAAAGCTTTATCGTCTCGTCCGTGATATCAGAATCAGCCGAACGTAGTGTAGGCAGTGAAAGCAGAGGCTCTCCAAGTGACATATCCATTCTTCAGATATTTCATCTAACAAGGGAAGGATCCCAAGTCGAAGTGGCCATTTGAAATGGGGCCTATACTGCTAGGTGTATTTTTTGACGCTGATTTCAAATCTGCATTCAAAATCTGCCAAACGGTTCTCTGAACGAAGTTATGGAGGTGGTTTCCGGAGAGCACTCAAGAGGAGAAAGCACAAAAACCATGGTCGCCAACAGTCCAGCAGTGGCGGCTTGGAGTGGAGGTAAGCGTGACGCTTCACAGGCATCTTGCAGGGCTTTTCTCTCCAAGTTGGGAAAATCTTTTTATATTAGTTTTACCGCCTTCAATGACTTTTTAGTTGCTGGATGCGAGCCAGTTCCTATTTAAACCGTCTGACGTCTAATCCAACCACAAACATTACAAAAATTCTATTCTTATTGTTGTACATTTCAAATTCACTGTAGGACAACTTTTACCAATTATAAGCCGATGCGATAATCTGGCACGAAGTGTTTAAAACAAAAGTCTTTCACAATGAGCGCGACAAGCGAAAATTCTCTTTCTGATAGCGCTTCCCACCTGGATTTGTTTGTTATCTCGCTTTAACAAGTTCGCTGGGAAGAAGAACATGCACCTGTTCTTTGGACACTTGCACATTGTCAAACATCAACGACTCTCTAGATGTGCTTGCTGTTCCCTCTTTATCATACGGTTCCCACAGTGGATCAGCCTCCTCGTCCTCAATCACGCAGTCTTCTTCGCCCTCAATATCGAGGTCTTCGTGAAAGGGATTCCGCAAGATAGAGAAAAGAGAGATAAGAGAAACTATCTATCAACTTTGCTCCTTCCTTGTAAGGGCGCGTTCAACAGTACAGGATTCGAAATACGTTCTTTAGTTCTACATCCATCCATATATACCATACTTTGCCGGGTTTCACATGGCAACCATCACCTTTTTTGAAAACTGACCGCAATCCCCACCTTTTTTTTAAAACGAGTGGAAGATGATTTAAGTAGGAACTGACTCGCCTCCAGCAATCAGGCATTAAAACTAGCATAAAAAACTTTTACAACCTGGAGGAAAAAGTCCTGCAGGATGCAAAAACGCCGCTGCCCACCAAACCCGATCCTTGGTCCCATGCTTGTGAAGCGTCACGCTTACCTCCATTCCAAGCCGCCACTGCTTGACTGCTGGCGACCATGGCTTTTGTGCTTTCCCCTGTTGAGCGCTCTTCGGAGACCACCTTCATAACTTCGTTCAGAGAATCGTTTGGCAGATTTTAAATGCAGATTTGAAATCAGCATCAAAAAATACGTCTAGCAGTATAGGTCTCATTTCAAATGGCCACTTCGACTTGGGATCCTTCCCTTGTAAGGTGTGTCTTCTCGTTGACCATTGTATTGTTCCTTCTAACGCTTATTTCACGTACTTATCATGCTATGATTCCTACTAAGCCCATGCCAAAAAAGAATCGCTAATCTTCTACTCGCGTAAGTTTCTGTTCCAGAAACATGATTCAGCTCTCTAGCTAATTTCACCATGAATCATTCAAACAAAAGATTATTCACCCACCCAAACATGCTTCATATTCACTCAATTTCTAAGAAACGTAAATTAAATAGAAGGGATTCTAAATTCCTTTGCGGCGTATTAGGCCTTCCACTTTGATGTTATATTATTGCCTTTGCATGCTTCGATAAAGGTTTCATCATATCGAGCTGCTTCCATCGACAGTAGAGAAAGATTGAATGATCCTTACACTGTTTGCATCTCCTAGGTCTAATATCAAAAGCCTGGAACCAGTTCAGCAGTCTGAATAAAAGCACTATTTCAACATCGTCAAAGTTGGCTTGTTTGATGGGCTAGCTGACGAGTGTCGAGGAAACATGATTTTTTTTCAGTTTGAAGAGCGACAAGAGAAATGTTCCGTTGCATAAAGCCAGGTTGAATTAATACATTCACGAAGATGGAAAGAAAGGCTCACACCGTCTTAGAGCTCATACACTTCCATTCATCTGCTCGTGATTCTGTCATAAAAAAATCTCAGCAGGTGTGTCATATTTACAACTGTAAATGGAGGCTTACAGTGGGTGGAAAGGGATCATATCTGGGGTGTTAATATCACTATTACATAGTCCCCCTGCTGCTACTTCTAAGAACTTGAGGACATAGTGATGCGCATAAGATGCACCCTTTGAGCATCGTCTGGAGCGGTATGCGCTTCACACTCTGGCCACACTCATTTTCCTCACCCAAACTCAACTCCTTTTCATTTTTTACAATAATATCATTTACACTTGACCGCTAAAGGTGTGATCCGTATAAACATTGGTGTTCTTGACTTTGGTAAAAGATTTCTGGACAAAAGTCGATTTTCTGGCCACATTCAAACTTCAAGCTTCATAATAACATAAACAAGCAAATGAAGTGGAGAGTGTACAACAAAGTAAATCAGCACAAGCTACAACAATCGTGAGGAATTCGGATCCTGGAAACTCAAGGTTGCGAAAGTTTGGTAAGCGAATCTGTCCCATATGGGCTCCCAGTGGTTTGCTTCTTCAACTATTAGGTCCAACATCTACACATTTGAAGACAAGCAGTAGAAGCAATTGGTTTTTGATAGCCATAAATAGCATCACCCACCCGGAGTCAGCACTGAAAACCAACGGTGACACGTCGATGAATAACGGTGAAACATCATCACTAGCAGATTTTCTTCTTCTGAAACTTCTGGTATCACATCGTAAGGCCCTCTAACCGCTTCATTTCATGTTTGTTCCGGGGTGTCGATTTGGTTTGGACCTGAATATCTTAATAATCGCTAAATATCTCCAAAATTTTCTCAAGATTCAGCCGTTCCATGTGCCTGAATGATTTTCCCATGAGCAGCAGTTTTGTTAAATAAGACTTTTCGTTATAGCTCTAATTAATTTCTGATCAATTTTCGCGATAGCAGCTTCGACACATTTAACG